TAAACACTTTCTATTTATATTTTCTTCGCTAAGAGCGGGTATTAAGAGTGTAATATTCTTGAAGAGAATTATTACACGAATTAAAAAACCGGCACTGTTCGATATGTTTGACATTTTCGATTTACCGACGGACACTTGTAAAACGACCGTAGTAAAGCACTTTGTTTTTGTAATTATCGTTGATTTTAATTTTATTTCAAAACGAAACGCTCGCGGCTTATGCTCACTCAATAGATGGTACGTACGTTTTTTATTGATGAGAGTATAACTTAACAAAATAAATGGATGATGGATGAATAGGCTGCGAGTTAATATTTGTAGGCCCTGGTAGCTGCTATTTTTGACGATTTGTCATCACTAACTTTGAACGAAAGTTCAATGTTGAATAAAATGGTATTTGACAAATTGAATAAAAAGAGCAATGGGTTGTATTTTAAAGAAATTAAATTAAATTGAACTTAAACAAATATCTTCAAAATACCAAATAATCAAAGTTACGGCTTAATGAGTGTCAAAAGGAATCTTCTGCAACAGAATGGCAACTCATACAAACTCTACAATCTGAATTTTAGACAATTCCCCTGAAATATGTGGCTTAAGTTATCTGCATACCAAAAATCGGAAGTATTGAAACATTGGGGTCTATAGCATATAAAACCAATAATCTACCACAGGAGGTAGAACCCATTATGAACCCTATGTACCGATTCAAATAATTCAAATGTGATCTAAATCGTAAAAATACGAGAGGTACAGTTATATGGGAACCATCCGAAAACGTTTCATTGCGTCAGGCCACCCCCACGACTTACACAATTATAGAGGAACATTGTTACACTATTAAGCTGTGGTCATCGTGAGGAAAAAGATAAAGGGACCAGCTGATATGATATTATCGTCCTTTAACACAGTTCTTAACTTCAAGGCTATTATTACGAGTCTAAATTTCACATACTCCGATAATAGTCATTTTTATATCATAGAAGAAGAGCTCTCAATTCTCTGTCAAGGAGGAATATTATGATGAAGTGAAGGAGAAACTAGCCCTATTGACTGACAAGACATGAATGACTTAGGACAAAATAGTTGTCACTTCGCTAAATGAGTAATATCAGGAATTCTGCGTTCTTCATAGGCATTAGACCTATAAGTAGAATTTAATAGGAAAGGTATTTGTTCGCCTATAATTTCCCCAGATCTCGCGAAGATAAAGGGAAACTAAGACTAATGAAAAACTAATGATCAGGCAAAAACTTTGCATTCCTCGGCTGAACCTCAAACGAAAATGAACCATATATATATAATCGACCTATACTTTAGGATAACGATGATATAGAACAATGATATTTAGTGCGAGGTATCAGATACAGCTTAGAAATAATGATATTTGCGAGGTCACTACAGCAAAAAAATAACTCTGTTAGTTTTAGAGGAACCTGATTTAGATTAAAAACATCTTCCTTTTATATGTCTTATCCGATTTTCACTTGTATTGCGCTTTTAATAAAAATTATTGTTTTCTTATTCTCTTCCAACAAAATCAAAATACATACTTTTATTTCTTACTAGAAGTTCTACTAATAATACATACTGATTTAGGGTATCATACTATCAACCTTTGTATCTTTAAAAAATGATTTTCAATCCTTTCTTTCTTAGGTTAGTGTGCGCATAAGTGTTATTAATTCACCTTTTCATGGTCATAGAATATTTGTCGATAATACTTAATTCACATATTGCAAATATCCAGTTTATTACATTTATAGGTTATCGCTGTTTGAAAATATATGCATTTTGAGCTTTATGCTACTTGAACATTGAGCTTTTTGAAAACGTGCAAATTAATGATTTTTTTTAATATGATAGAAAACTTTATTACCTTTTGTATTTCAAATACGCCCCAAAACCAACAAATTAACATACACTAAACTTTCATCAAATATAAAATCTACAACTTTCAATAATACCCCTTTAACAACTTTTGAAGCTTATTACAGATATGCAAGATCAATAATTCGTAAGGAACAACTCTTTAAATTATCGCTGAAACGTGGAAAGCTTTAAACAGACAGATAATAAACTGACAGAAATGGTTTACCAGATAATTTTAAACACAAGTCTTAAACATATAAAAAACGAATAATTTGTATGATAACAATTAATGAAATGGAGATATTATTGTTTCCAGTTCCCTTAGCAAAAGTGGAAGAAATAAACCCTACACCTGTAGACACCAAAGAACTGAAAACGTAATGAAAATAGATAATATGAGCTCAACCATTACCGATGTATTGGATGTATCTCTTGTTAAAGTCCTTTTAAAAATAATCAATTTCAATTTTTTTCAAATAAGAAAGTGAGAAAATCGCATAATCGTGCTCTGCACCTTCCTGAGAAATGGAAATTTTCGCTCTACTCTTACATCTACATTTAGTCAAGAACTATCAGAACTGAGATAAGCCCAACATCTTCATACATTGATAGATCCAGCTATTGTGGGGATAGCAACTTCAATTATATTCTTTTGTCTTTTCATGGTTCTGAAATTGCAGCAGAAACGAACATCGATATAGAAGCTGTGATCGAGAGCTACAAGAGTTCAGAGGACGGACCTCACTTAAGTGTGGGAGGAACTAACACAGTCTCCGTCGTCTCACCCTAATATACAAAAGGACCATGGTAAACATTATAATACGCTAAATACAAAATCATAATAATTTCCACAAATAACCAATTGAAATTGTTTATTTTTTCGATCGTTCCCATCGCCACACTTTCCCACCCATGCCGACCGACAACTTCCCGTTGCGAAGGAAACACGTACACCGTATAGTCCGAAATGTAGGTGTTTAGTAGCCTAGGGGAAACTGGTTACAGTAATTATCTGCCGGCTAAATAGTAAAGTAAATTAATATACACAACACAGACTACAACAAAGCTAAAATTCAATAAATTATTTCTTGCAACTGTTTCTACATTTTGAGAAGTCAAGATAGATTTTTTTATAACATGCAAGGGTTTATATAAAGACATTTTATTGTATAATTTGTTATATTCATCACATAAAGACCGCAACGAATTACATAGTTCGTAGTTAGATTTTGCTGTCGTTAATTCAAGAGGAATGTAATTTTGCGTGTGACGCAAAGGGATTTTAAAATTTATTTCGCTTAATAGAAATTCAGATTGAAATTGCCCACGCAAGAGTTTTATTATGAAAATTCCTCTAAGCATTTGACGCCTTTCGCGCAGTGACGGAAGATCTATAAGTTTTTTAGTTTTAAGCGATTTTTATAAGGTGGAAGAGTTTCATTCGAATTCCATCCTAAGCCACTAAGAGCAAACAGAAGACATTGAACCTGTATAGATTCTATCTTGTCAGAATATAATTTATAGAAGGAGCTCTAAAGTAAGCAACCATATTCCAAAGTTGGTCGGACAAGGCTAATGAATAAACGTTTAGTAAAATAAGGATCATCAAATTCTTTGGACCATCGTTTTATAAATCCAAGCAATGACTTGACTTTATTAACACGAGAATTCAAATGTAAATTGAAGCTTAGTTTTCTATCCAGCATAACGCATCTCCAAATCATCTACAAAGGATTCTATATTATGCATTGATATGAGCCAATAAAATAATCACTGTTAACAGGCTGGGATCTAAAGAATGATAGCTTCTTACACTTTTAAATTTAAGGACATCCCATTTTCACTACTCCAATTCACAAGAAAATTAAAGACGCATTGAAGATTGAGTGATTGGTTATAAAACTCGAGATTAGAATAAAATTTAACATCATCAGCAAACATCAAAATTTTAGAGCGACGAATAACAGATGGAAGGTAATTTAAGTAAAGTACAATAAGTAGTGGACCTAAATGACTACCTTAAGGAACTCCTGAGTTTACATTTATATTTTTAGAGAGAATATCTTTAAATATTATTTTTTGGATACGTTTCTGTAAATGTGCCAATATACATGATAAAAGTATTGTAGGAAACCCCATGGAACCAAGTTTTTGAATTCATAACATATATAACATCAGTTTGACACTTGTTAGTGTCCATTGTGCACTTGACAAGTAAGTTGTAATAAATTCGTCCTACCTCTAACATAACCATGTGGGTGAGGTGATATTACTGATGAAAAAAATGAATTATTCTACGTGTGACCAAGAGCTCAAAAAGTTTGGGGATAGCGCTTAGTTTGGTTATGCCTCTATAATTTTCGATCGCCAAAATAGAGGAAAGTAACCTAATGCCAACGAGTAATTAAAAATTGTCATTATTGATCTATAAAGTTCATGCTCACATGATATAAAAAAAGAAGTTGGTACACCATTAGGACCTGGTGAGTTAGAATAGTACAATGATAATAAACCGTTTAATACGTCAGCCTCAGTGAGTGTGATGCGAGGGAACTGATTTAACTTATTAACAGTATAAAGGTAAGTAATACAACTTGATCTAAATTTTCAATAGGTATCTTAAAAAAAAATACCGCAAATATATTTGCTATTTCATTAGGATCACATGGTTCTTTACGCCCGAGTCTCATAGGTTATTCTCGGACTTTTCTCTATGAATTCACGAAATTGTTAAAATATTTTTGATTTCGATTTAAGTTAACTCTTATTCTTATTAGATAATTAGAATAATATTTAGAATTTTCAATATTGCATATATGTGTAATTACTAAAGTTTATTGTTGATTTGCATTTTCTTATGAAATTTACTTTTTACATTTCGCAATCGTATCAGATGTGGGGTAATCCAAGGTGGACCCATAGCACAAGATTTGGACAGAAACTGAGATTTTCAATGCATCATTAAGTTTATTATAGAAACACGACTTTTGACAGAATTATGTTTTATATTTAGATTTTTCTATAATTTAATTTTTTTCCTAGATTGCGTTAGCCACACTTGCTGCATAATTATATGTGCTCAACCAATGGAAATATTAATTGAAATAATTATATTTTCTTTTTCTCAGACATCAAGTGACGGAAACCAAACCACAAGCACCCTGTCCATCTCCTTTAATAAAAATGACGCTGGTAAGTTGCTCACTTGTAAAGCATATAACCATGCCACTTCTTCCGAACCTTTGGAGGACGGTTGGAAATTGGAAATTCACTGTAAGAATTAATTCATGTGTGATCTTGTAATTAAGCGGAACATTGGAGCCATACGCTGTACATACTTCACCTTTTATTTGTCCTTATTATGATATTTATGATGGACTTAAATGTTTCTTTCGATTTAATAATATTATAGCATATTAATTCCTGATACTGATTCGAAAAACCTATTTAGTCCAGCGTGTTAAGAGATATGCAGGTAGGACCGGGGCTTAAAATTCTAGCGCTAAGTTAGCAATAGTACCAAAGATTTAAACTCTACCTTGAAAAAATCATCAAAGAAAATGCGTCAACAGGAAACAACACTTTAAAAAACGTTTAGGTTAGGGAACTAAGCAGCTACTGGTTTTGGCCACAAAAAAGCAAGGAAAAACGTGTTAAATATTAATACCTTCACCACGAGGTAAAGAAACCATAATAAATAAAATAAATCGACTTAAAATTTTACGCTGTTCATTCCGTTTGTAACTATATATATACTGTGTAGGGTGTAACGTGATTATGTCGAGGAGTTGCAAACGGAATGACAAAGTCTTATTATTATTATTATTATTTGCTCACATAGCCACAGCACTATCATATGCTTAGTTGGTACACATTAGCGACAATTTTTTCAAGCAAGGTTGATTTTATTTCGTTTGCTGTTTTCATTTAAGAAAATACACATACGAAGAAATCCAATAACGGAATAACAAACCCTTAAAGAGCGCTCTTCTAGAGAAGAATCTGCTCGTTTTCGAACGACCATATTCTAGCATCGAGAGTGCTCCCACTCGACTTCGAGTGAATTTTACTCTGTATAGAAGAGAAAAGAAAACGCTTAATTGGCATCACTGCCTTCTCTTCAAAAAAATATATTCCCACCTTTATCTCGAATTCTTTCATTCATCTCATTTCTTTTGTAATGATTTATTTTTGCAATCACTCTCCCTATTTTGCTCTCAATACCAGAAAAACCGATATTGGAACAGAAGAAAAACAGTGATTGCAAAAACGGCTGATCTTTTCAGTTAGAAGAACTAATTATTGGTTATTAATTTTGTGTCAACCTATTGGAAGGTTTTTGTTGAACATAAGCAATCAAAGAATTGCCGTTACACCTAAAGAGCAAGAAAGTTTTTTTTTTATATAAAAACTTGGGGCCAAGTGAAAGTGAACAATAAAGTAATAGAGGTTGAATTTTCTCGAGGAAGGCCGATAAAAGTAGACTATCCTGCATCAAATATCGTTGCCTTTGGAGCAATTTGTGTTCTCTGCAGTGGACAAGGAGCGATAACGCAAGCAACCTTGGTGTGGCCAGTGGTCGTGTGGTGTTTTATTATTTTGTATGCTGCGTGTCGCTCGGGAAAGCGGGTATCTTCCAGCAGCCCCTCAACATCACTGTCTCAGAGGGGTTAAAACAAGGGAAGAACTTGTTAAGATACTGGAATCTGCAGGGTTCGAGCTTCGAAATTGGACGTCTAACTCAAGAGAAATATTGAAGGGATTAGCTCGCGAGCATTTATTACATGCAGACTTTTTCGAATTGGGTAACAAAAGTTCAGAGAAGACGTTGGGAATTCGTTGGAACTCTTCCTCTTACACTTTCTTTATTGTGATGGAAAAATTGAGGAAACAAATTCTTACACAAAACGACAAGACTTGTCAATAATTTCCCCAATTTTCGACACTTTGGTATGGCTTTCGCCAATCGACGTGACTGCAAGAAAACAATACTGCTTTGAAAAACAATTTAGTCCAGCGTGTTTAAAGATATGCAGACAAAACCGGGATATAAAATTAAAATCCTAATTTGGCAATAGTACCGAAGATTTACAGCTCCACCTGGAGAAATGCGCCAACAAGAAACAGCACATTTAAAAAACGTTTAGGTTAGGTAACTAAGCTGCACTGAAGCTACTGGTCAAAGCCACAAAAAATGGATAAGCGTGTTTAATTTTAATAGGTAAAGAAAGTAAAGAATAAATGTATCAGGTTCATCCATTTTTTTAGCGAAATCGCTTGGTAAAAGTCCTCAAAGTATGGCTGTTAAAATGTGGCTAAAATTTAAAAATACAAAATGTTCGTAGGTACCTCTATAATGGTGATGTAAGAATTATGGACCTCTTCCAAAAGTCTTCTGGAAATATTACCCATCACAACCTCTTCATACTGAAATTTATAGTATTTCGCTGAAAAATATGGCTAAAATCATCAGAATATGACCTCCACCTTCAAAGGACGATGTATTAACATTGTCACTTCCTAATCAAGGTGTACAAAATCTATACCAAAACAGGAAAAAAACGCGTTATGTACGCCAGAGCCGAACTTTTCCACCCTCCGTCATGTGAATCGGGATGTAATATTGAGTCTACTTCCACTTTTGCTGGTAATATCGGAAGAAAAAAATTCTTAAAATTGACGTAACGTCGCACAAAGGGGTGAAACGCAAAGATTAATTGAAAAATAAAATTCGTCTTTTGGAATAAATATTTATAAACTATTACAGAACACTAAATTTTACTTTAGTACCGAAAACATTAAAGTCATACGTTGTTTAGTTTTCTAATTACATAGTGGTAAAATTGAGGAATATTTCACTTTTTCGTTTTTTGAAGTGCACTAATTTAGTTCTTCTCTCACTAAAAGTGATCATTTAAAAATTGAACCATCGAATACAGGTATTTATCAGTGTTTTAGAATCAAAAAGTTTTAAAAATAATGATGTAAAAATAATTTAAAAATTAATTCAAAATATGAGCTTACTTTCGCCATATCCGAAAAGTAGATGGCAGAAAAAAATAATATCGTGAAGGTCTTAAAATTTTAACTCTGTATTTTAGTATGGAACGTCATCTTTCATAATCAACAAAAAACTCGAGCGGTTTTTGTTTAATTTAAATAATGGTGTATATAGTTAACTGATTTTGCGGTGAATATACTCTGATCTAGTTCTCTGCTTTGTTTGTTTTTTCTGTTTTGTCTGTTTTGATCTATTTCGGATAGGAACGCTTAATTGCAAGCCAATGTTTATAGATATTTTTTATATCCTCCACCATACTATGGAGGGTATATTAATTTTGTCATTCCGTTTGTAACTCCTCGAAATACTCATGTCAGACCCAACAAAGTACATATATTCTTGATCAGCGTAAAATTCTAAGACGATTTAGCCATGTCCGTCCGTCTGTCTGTCCGTCTGTCTGTCCGTCTGCCTGTCTGTCTGTTGTAATCACGCTATCTTTCGAACAAATTGAGATAGAAGGCTAAAATTTTGCACACATGTATATTTTGCCGGTAGGCAGGTTAAGTTCGTAAATGGGCAATGTAGGTCCAAGTTATCATATAGCCCCCATATAACGGTACCTCCCGATATTCGGTATTTTGATGATTTTAGCGACATTATTCACCGGAATTGTTTCAAATTTGGCATTTGAGATTCTTAAGGGATACTACAGCGTAAGACAGAAAATTATCTGTGCAGGTCTACGTCTTCGTGTAGCCCCCATATAACGGTACCCCCCGATATTCGGTATTTTGATGATTTTAGCGACATTATTTAGCGGAATTGTTCCAAATTTGGTATTTGAAGTTCGTAATAGATACTGCAGCATAAAACAGAAAATGGGCCATGTAGGTCCACGTCTTCATATAGCCCCCATATACCGTACCCCCCAATATTCGGCATTTTGATGATTTTAGCGACACTATTTACCGGGATTGTTTCAAATTTCGCATGTGAAGTTCGTAATGGATATTTCAGCCCATGCTAGAAAATTGCCTGTGCAGGTCCACGTCTACGTATAGCCCCCATATAACGGTACCCCCCATATTCGGAATTTTGATGATTTTAGCTACATTATAAACAGATTTTTCTTCAAGTTTCGCATGTAAATATTGTAATAACTTATGAAAAAAGCTGCCTATGCAGGTCCACGTCGTCGTATAAGCATTCGGTATTTTTAAGGTTTTAACAGAATTCTTAACGGATTTTATTATTATTATTATTATTTTTTTTTTTGGAAATTGCCAAATTTGTACCAAATGGTGGAGGGTATTAAAAGTTCGGCCCGGCCGAACTTACAGCTTTTTTACTTGTTTTTATTGTTCCTTTCTCATAAAAATATGTAGTCTTTTTGTCTTCAGACTTAAGAAGGGTTTTAAAAGAAGATATATTTTTTCAGGCTTAACTCGGTTTTGTTATTTGTTGCTGATAAAAAAAATTATGAAAATAAGCATGAATGCTTCCTTTGATCTAAACCCATTGGGCCATACAGAGACCTACGTTATGGGTGCCTTTATATTGTCAATTTTTATTGTTAATATCTATTGAGATATATAAAACCAAACAATAATTTTGTAAAAAAACTCTGTCTGAAACCCTCAACATTTTGCAGATAGCGAGATTCTCAAAATACATAAAATTTGGAATTGCAGTTATATATGGTTAATATATAATGGTGGATTTATCTTCACAAAATTTTTGAATGGGCCTATGCCAAGCAAGAAGAGGTTATATCTACTGCGAATTTGAAATGTCAGGTTAAAGATGAACATACTAGGGGTAATATAAATGTCTGAAAAAAATTTCAAAGCGATAGAATGCTTCCCTGAACTAATCTCCATTTTTAGGTATCTCGCCCCACTGTGCACTGTGTTCAAATTTAGATAAGTTGGTAAGTGAAACCACACACACGTCATTTCCAAAACTCGATTTTTCCCAAATCATTTCAACGTTCTCTTTATTCTTTCTGGCCTTAAGTAATTTCTACCTACTATTGGAAGATAATAGTAAAACCACTTCTTATATATTGCTTAAATTAACGATGTGTCATTGATCTCTATGTAGTTATATTTAAACTCTCAAAAGTTTAACAACATTGCGGTCTCCATATAACTTTAACCCCGATATTTCGACACTCTTAATCACATTTATCATCGGATTGAATCATTTTTTATTTCGAAATCCATTAGTTTCACCGACACAAAATTGGTATTTTTATGCTACAAGCTAA